GGGTCACTCTGGGGTGGGGATCGAACTCATGCTGAAGTGGCTTTAGCTTCTTAGTGCTGTGCTTTAACCTGCTGCACCACCAGGGAGGGCCCAGAAATAAATAAATCTTAAAAAAAAATTAAAAATTAAAGATAATTGGGAATATACTCCATAGACAGATTTGAATTTGGGTTTTTCACTTTCTGTCATATCATGAACCTTTCCTTATGTCTTCAGACAGTCTCCACGAAAATGGTTTTTAGCCATTGCTTCATGTTCTATCACTGGCTATTCTGGAACCTACTTAACTACTCTAATTTTTATTTGGCATTGAGGTATAAATAACTTTAAAATGTGACTCTTTTCTGCTGGGGTATTATTCATAAGCATTTCTATGGACTGAGGATAATTATTAGTGAGAATTTTTGAAGTGGGGGGAGAAGGGTTGATTAGCTGATCACAGGAACCCCCCTCCCAGCCTTGAGTCCCTTTTGGCCTTCAGATGGGGGTAGATAGGGGCAGAGCAGGTATGGGGTGCCCCAACCGTGTGCCGTATGGGAGCACAAGAGCCAGTCTGGTGCTGCTGCCATCACCTGAAGAACCAGATCGATTTTAATTTGCCTGTAGTTTAGGCAGCAAAGAAAATATGAAAATTGAGCATTTTAACAAATAATAAATATTTCTAATCTAGCCAGACTTCTTTGATATGTTTTACAGCTATTTAAAGTGGTTGACGGTTTCTTTCTTTATTGGCATGTGATCTCGAACGTAAGGACCCCAGAAGGTAGCCAACACCCCCCTGATTCAGTGCACCCGGGTGTTTCCCCCAGGGCTGGGCTGGCCAGGGAGGTTGCACTGGCTCAAACTGAGAAGCAGATGGGAGTCACCTCTTACGTAAAGACTCTGAGTCTTAGAACAAAAGGAAGAGGCTCAAAGGAGAGGAGACAGCGTCTGGCCGCTTTCCCTTCACCTCTTCCTCTAAAAATGATGCAAATAGACTTGGATTCTGATTTCACTTAATTTCTGCCAAAAAGAAACAAATTAGAGGCTGAAATGTGCAGCTGATCCCAAACCCTTCCCTGGGGAGACTTGATGCTCCCCAGATGCCTTCAGACCCCTTTGAGAAGAAAGTTATGGTCCTTTCTGGCTCAAAAACATTCAAACTGTCCCCACTGGGTTCCTGGAGGAGGGTTTGTCTTGTCCTAAAAGAGCCTGAGGCCCCTGGGCTCCCTGCCTGCTCTTTTCAGCTTGGTCTAAGTCTGATTAGATGGGGCTTCGGGCACCAACGGTAACGCCTCCCGAAGGCTGGTACTGCACCCTGTTTCCTTTGCACGCTCAGTAGGCACAGCAGAGACTCCCTCGGACACTGCCATCCTGTGTGCTACTCTTCCTGACACTTTGCCTCTTTTTGCAAGAGGCAAAAAGAAAACTGACTTACGTTTAGACCCTCGCTGGGTAGACGACTCCGTGCAGCGGAGTCAGAGTTTGTGTCTAAGCAGGAAGCCTTGACGGGCGGGAGCCGTCTGTCAGTAGCCCGCAGCGCCTAGCATGCTGTGGTTGGATAGTTACGACAGAAAGAGAGAGTCAGCGTGGTCCTTTGTGAATTCTCTCCTGGGTCCCAGCACTAACTGCGGGCCCACTACTCTACCAGGCACATGAGAGCTAGAGGCCAGGGGGCGGTGACAACGTGGATCTGGGCACCTTGAAGTTGAGGCTCAGGTCCAAGTCTCCCACTTACCCTGCAGCTGCCACATCGGCCACCCCTCCCCCTGGCCCTTGGTCACCTCTTACTGCCTCTGGAAGTTCTCTTGGACTTGGTGTCTCCCTCTCTTGATCCGCTGCTCTGCAGTAGGTGTCACCTGGCAGTCATTTGCATCCTGCCTTGGAGTCCCTCTAGCATTGTCTCGAGCTGTCGCTTGGGTCTGTTTAAGCGGCCACCTATCGTGTTTCCACTCTTCTCTCTTTGGAGGGTGGCCCTGAGGGCAGGGAGTGAGAGGCCCTGGCTCTGGCACAGGCCATCACCCCCCGAGCCACTACCTGTACGCCTGTGAAGCTGGGCTAGCGGCCCACGTCTGTCGTGCTGATGGATGAGCACAAAGTGCCTGGTCAGTTCTCCTTTACAGAACTCAGGCTGAGTTCCAATGGCCACTTCTGGGGCACGGGGAGCACATGAGCAGCGTGTCTCAGGATGCACGACAGCACCTGCTGCTCACGACTGTGCTCCTGTCTTCCTTTGGGGTTGGGAGCCATTTCTACGTCCTGGTTTCTAAGTGCCCTGGAGATGTCAAGTCTCCAAGCCAGAAGGCCTGACTCAGTAGGGAGCAAAACACTGACAGCAGTGACCCACCGGCCTGCGGCTGGGTGCTGACTCAGCACTTTGCATGCACTAATTCCTTTGACTTTCACTAGAGGTAGGTACTGCTGTTCCCCACCTGCTCCATGGGGTGACAGCAGTGAGAGGTGTGGTCAGCAGCGGAAGGTCAGGGAGCTGGTGGGTGGCTGTATCAAGTGTGGACCCAGAGTCCCTGCTGGTGACCACTGGGTCTCTGCCGTGTGGCCCACTGCTTCCCAGTGCTCGGCGCGGCTCTTTTCCTGCCCGGGACCCCGCTGCTCTCGTGCTGGGTCCTCTTCCCTCTCCAGCACCTCCTCTATGTTCTTGCCTCCTCTGTGACCTTGGCATAAGCCAGGAGGAGAGAGCAGCGGGGACAATCTACTTCATCCTGCAGAGAACTCCGTGTTGTCAGAGATGGGAGAGACCTCAGGATTTCCCCGGTTCAGATTTGCTAAGAAAAGAGAGAGGCTCAAGCTGGCACAATGTTGCTGCCCAAACCAGATAATTGTGGTTTAAAAAAGAATTATGTTCATATGACCTATGAGCATGGAGGCAAAAATTCTAAACAACACATCAGCAAATCGAATCTAGCCTTGTATAACAAACATTATACATCTTGCCCAAATAGGGTTCAACCCAGGAATGCAAATACGATTTAACCTTAGAAAACAGAGGCCTAGGGGTGCCTGCGGGGACGGAGCTGGCCCAGGGTCCAGCCCCAGGCTGGCTGTGGCCCTGCTGCCCCGTGCTGCCCCTTGCTCCCTGGAAGGCCTGGTGACAGTTCCTTCCCTCCTTCCCCTCCCCCCACACTATTTTACATGGCAAGAGGTAAGTGAGATGCTCCAGTCTGGCCCTCCCTGATTCTCTCTTTCCATTTCTCCTGCAGGATTCCATGTTCTCGTTGGCCCTGAAATGCCTTATCAGTCTGTCCACCATCATCCTTTTGGGTTTGATCATCGCCTATCACACACGTGAAGTCCAGGTAGGTGCCCGGCCTCCAGCTGGTGTGCTGGCACTTCCCTCCGCCTTGCCGTAGGCCGAGTCCGCGTCTGCTCTCAGTGCTCGGCTCCTCTCTTTGGTTTGGACCTTCGGGAGAGGAAACTGTGAGGCTGCCTGTGGCTTTGGAGTAAGTGGGACATTATCTTCACTTGGGGGTCCCGGGGGGCAAACGTGGCTCCATGAGTTGGGAGTCCTGCTCTGGTGCCCCATTAGCACTGTGCCCTGGGGGATCCCTTGTGTGTTGCTTTGTCTTTTTTTGGATCCTTTCTGAACTGGAGCCACTGAGTCCCCCAGTGAGGCCGACTGCCCTGTGTCCCCTACACACACACACACACACACTCCAATGCCACTTTATCCCCCCTGGACCCTGCCAGGATGGGAGGAACCATTTCCTAGATAGGGTTGAAGTCTGTGGTGGTCCCAGGGACCCAGGAATGACTTGGCACCCAGAGAAATGCTGGCTGGGCCCCTGGGGTATACACCTCCAGCTTGACTGCCCGCAGGGCAGGGCCAGGCTGGGCAGGTGGGCAGGGCAGCAGCAGGGAGTGGAGCAATAGCGTCTCCTTGTAACCTGGGGCGTCCCCACCTCCCGTCCCTGCAGGCTGACCTGCTCTGCCGGGACCTGGGTAGTTCTGAAGTAGCCAGATGTTTTTTCTCCATACATGTGAACTGGAGATATTCCTGGGCCTTGGCTGGAGGAACACAGATAGATCCTCATCTGGGCAGCAGGCGAGAGAATGACAAAGACCAGGACTCCGAGTCAGCGGAGCGGGGGTGGAGCCTCGGCACGACCTCCTTGCATGTCGTGTCTTTGGCCAGCACGGTGACCTCTGCGGGCTGGAACGGGTGACCCTTTCTTCATTTGGAACGCGGGGGGCTTTGTTCCACCTTTTATGGGTTGTTGCGCAGACGGAATGAGGAGTCTATGGGAGTGCTCTGTAAGCTGAAAACGGCGTCAAACCTGGAGCTTGTGGTCCAGTGTTTCCCAGGGGCAGCGGTGGCACAGCCCCCTGGAGAGGGGGCTGCTTTCTGTGGGGTGCTGGGGGCGCCTGCAGTTGCCTGGAGGGTGAAGCCTCGGCAGCTGCCACCTTGGAAGGCCCCAGTCTGTGATGAGCAGAGGACTCGAAGGCTGAGCCTCTGTGTCTGCGAGGGTCACGGGTGCTCAGGCAGCGGCCGTGCTCTGAGGGCTGAGAGTCCCAGGTGCTACCACGCAACTTCCTGCGTGGAATCAGAACTGGGCGAAGCTGGTGGCCTTTAACCCAGACCTCTGTCCTGTCAGTCTCAGAAAGGAGCCAGCACAACAGGCAAGAGGGACGGGCAAGAAGCAGCATAGGAGGGCGTCACCGTCTGGGTACCGGGCCAGGTTCCACACCCCCAAAGCCAGCTGCGGCGCCACCCCCCACCCCCAGCCCCAGGTCCTCACCTGGAAGGACTCTCTATTGCTCTGTATCACCCTGGCCTGTGCAGAAGGTGTCACCTGGCCAAAGAAAACACACAGAATCAAAAAGCTCAGGCTTGAAGTGGGGAGGAAGAGCAGCAGTTCCAGCCTCAACCCCACGCTGCAGCTCCTCGGGACCAGCAGCGTCTTCATCCCCGTGTGACAGGAAGGGCAGCACCCGCCTCTGCTTCTCCTGGAGTCCTCGGCCCAGCCCAGTCTGCAGTCACAGCTCTCAGAGCTGCCCTGGCCGGGCTGCCTGGGGCACTGGAGTGCTGGCACCCCGTGTGAGGCACCTTTCCCTTCTCCTCAGCTCACCGCTGACTTCTGCTTCACCTAGTGATTGGCAGTGGATACTATTTCGTTCATTCATCTTGCTCACACTCACAGTCTAGAGAAGTAGGTTGGAAGAGCGGCACTGATTCCTGGCCCAGACACTTTGTCTTCAGTGACCTTTCATTACTAATAGCTTCTTTGTGCCTCAGTTTCCTCACCTGGAGTAGGAGTCCTATCACCCACTTTGCCGAACTCTTAAGCAGGTTGGAAACTGAACAGAGTACAGGGCTCACGAAACAGAAACTTTGGTCTCTTTCTTGTGACCTCTGCCCCACCACTTCCAGCTGGGCCTTGTCCCTGGACAAGCTGGGCCCACCAGATGGTCCCTGTCATGACCGCCAGGTCCTGGCAGGTGGCTGGGCCTCCTCACTGCTCTGGGCTGGCGCTGTCTGCACTGTCAGCTCCTGGAGTCCAGCCCCTCATCCTGTCTGGGCCCACTGTCACATGGGCGGGTCACTAGGTCCTGGCTTCCTCTGTGTCTGACTTTCCCAGTTAAGTTCTTTCTGCACATAGCTAGACATTCTCTTGTCAGATGGAAAGGGGGTATAGCCAGAGTGTGTGTGTGTGTTTGTGTGTATGTGTGTGGGTTTCTGCGTATGTGTGTGTTTGTGCACGTGTGTATGTGTGTGTGTTTGTGTGTGTGTGTGTGTGTGGAGGGCTTGCCCTCACACGGACTCCTTGTGTGCACCTCCTCCAACTGTGTAGTCATTTTCTGTTCATCTCAGGACGGTGTGTCATTCATTATTGCCTTTCCAGGGACCCACAGTTTCTGGCAAAGAGCAGGTGTTTTTTTTTTTTTAAAGATTTATTTATTTATTCATACAGAACTGGGGTACAAGCCAGAGATGCGGAGGGTGAGAGGATTCACCAGAGACAGAGTGGGGAGCAGAACAGGCAGATCGACGAAGTACACTGCTGAGGGGAGCAGCGGGCGGGTCAGGAGAGGTCTGCCGCGCCATGTGGTCACCTCCGGGGCAGGCGGGGATCGAACTCATGCGGAAGTGGCTTTAGCTTCTTAGTGTTGTGTTTTAACCCGCTGCGCCACCAGAGAGGGCCAAGAGCAGGTGTTTTGATATAAGTTTGTTGGATCCTATGTATCTGGTTTCCAAAGCTAGTTAGATCATCTCTTAGTTCCGTGGTCTTGGGCCTCAGTTTCCTCATCTGTGGGACCTAACCGCCCCCACCCCCACTTCTACACCTCTCTGATTTGGGTCTGGCTCCAAGGCCAACTGGAAGATGTGTTTCTTGAGTATGGACAGATGAGCTACCCTAAGCTTATCCAGAGGGGAGGCTTGGTAAATACTTCATGGAGGGAGGCCAGCTGCTGTGCATGGGCAGTGAAGAAGGGTGCAACCCAGCTCCTGAGGGAGCAGTGTTGGGGGCTTGGCCAAAGATGTGTCCACTCCTTCCCTCATCCACACCATTGCTGGACACTTGGCTAAGTTTTAGCAGGAACCAGATGACTGTGTCTCCATCTCCCCCAGATGCTCACATCTAGCCCTGAGTCCTGCCCAGCACACAATGAAGCTGGGGGCACCCTCTAGAACAGTGTTCCTATTTATTCGCTTGGACGGCTTTTGTTTTTGAGGAGGAAGAATTCTAAAACATGACTGCATAACTTCCAACTGAACTCTGACTTCAAGTCATAGAACCCCAAGTTTGGAGTATTCTCAGAGATCATAGGGTGTACCCCAGTGCAGGAACCCCATGAAGCTCAGACGGCTAGTCTTTGACAGGACATCACTGGCTCTTGAGGGAGGCTTTGCCAGGAGCTTACATTGCTACAAATCTCTTTGCACAGGAGGGCTCCCTGGCATGTCCTCTCAGCTGGTTCTGCTCCGGGAGCAGGGATGGGAAGGCTGTGAATTCCGCCAGGCAGCCTCCCTCGTTGGAAAGCACCTCCCATCTCTCCTCGGCCTCTCCTCATGTGTTTCAGAACAAGGAACATTCAAAGGATCAGGCTTCTGTTACCTGAAGGCCAGCGTGACCTGGAAAGAACTGAAAACATACAAATAGATGCATTTTGTTTATTTGCCAAGGCAGTGCGTTCACTCCCATGGCTTGGAGATCACCAGCTACTCCAGCCTGACAGGGCAGCCTGGTGCCTGGGCCGCAGACAGACCCAGCGTGCAGATGCCCTGGGCATGGCAGGCTCAACATGAACACTGACCTCTCTCTTGCTCAGCCAGTACCCTCTCTTCCCCACTCCTGATGGCCCATCTAACTCATTCATTCATTCATTCATTCATTCATTCATTCATTCATTCATTCATTCAATATATAGTTAATGAGGTCTACTCTGTGCCGAGCCTGGGACTGGAGCCCAGTTCTCTGAACTAGAAACCCTGAAATCACCTTTGCCTAAGGGAGTTGCCAGCCTTGAGTAAATCTATGGTTCTAATTAATGTCCCTGGTGCCATCCTAGAAGTCAAGATAGCAGGAGGCTGAGGACATGGACTTGAGTTCATGGACTTGAGTAGCCTGGGCTTGGGTTCAAATTGTGCTCTTTGTCAATTTTTGTGTGCATTTTGAGTTTTAGCAAGTTACTAAATCCTTCTCAGTCTATTTTCTCTCTGTAAAGTAGGATCAAGAAAGGTTTGTTGTGCAGGTCGGCTTAGATAGCATATACATAACACCTGAGTGCAAATGAGGGTGCACTTGCCTGGGAGAGAGGATGGAGAGACTCCTAGGCAAAGTTCTCCAAGTAAGCACAGTCCCTGACACGGGAACTGCCAGAGTGCAGAATGTTCCAGGTGAGGTCCCAGGCCTGGAACAGGTCTGCCGTGGAGGCGGGACAGAGCCAGTGGCTGCCTTGTGTTTGTAACTGTCCTGTGTGTTGGCAGCCAAGGAAATGGGTAGGTGCTCAGGCGGGGAGGATGAGATGTGCATGCTGGGCAGGGCTCTAGCTGCAGCCTGGCAGTGTGGACCAGTCTGGGAGCCTAGTGAGTTAGGTGAAGGATGGTGACACCCAGAACCAGGGCAAGACAGGAGTCAGGGCAGAGGAGGGGATGTGCGTGAGACACTGGCAGGCACGACTGACCAGACATGGCCCCCATTTGGGATGTGGCTCTGTCTGCAGGGGGTGAGGTGGGGGCTTGAGTGGCTCCGTGGATGAGAGTGCTGTTCATAGAGATTCAAACACAGGTTGTCAAAGTGGGGGACAAGAGGAAGTCAGCTTGGCACAGGTTGTTTTTGATGTTTGGGGGTGGGTA